ATTCCAATTTGATAATTAATATAATCGAATGGAACGACAGAAAATAATGATCGCCTCTTTCCTCTATCGTTAGAATTAATATGGAAAGCTCAATTAGGCTTGAATTATTTCACAGTTGAAATTTGGCGGCGCCATCGAAGATGACATTTATATTGGAGCATTATTTTGTCTTAAGCAGATAATCTTTTTAGCTCTGAACATGGTCGTAAGAGTTTATCACTTGAACCCAGTCAATATGGCTATACAATCGACCATCATGGTTAAAAAGATGAAGCTGGGCACATCTATTCATTTTGTACAATATTAGTGGTAGTTTCATTCTGTTCATGTTCTTCATTTGCTCTGTTCTCTACTTCTTCAGCCTCATTATTCGCTTGACATCTTCTAGCGTGTTTCAGACGCTTATCGATAGGGATAAAAAGATAAGTCGGCTTTGCTAAGGAGCCAAGCTGACTTTCATTGAGTGGACCTTGTTCCTGCACGTTGTAGCATCCTTTTGTTTGTTTTTCTCCAGGTGAATCATCAGCTTCACTTTCATCGTTAGTATTATTTCCATCTCCAATCCTCTCGCCAGTTTTGATGAATAACTGGTGTGCTTGTAAATTCGCTCTCAGCTCCACCAAATCCGCCTGAAGAAGGTCCTCTGGCCAATCACCGAATAGCTCTTTCAGCCGAGCGTACTCGAGTACCGGACCACCAGACTGTTCAAAAAGTTGGAGTTGCAGCTAGAGGATGGTAAAGACATGGAATTCAGCGAGGAAATTTAACAACTCTATGTTTTCTAGGCTTCCCTTGCCACGTTGCCAAATAGCAAATCAGTCATCCCTATATATAACCAATAAGCTAGGAACTAAAAATACGTCTTGTTCTAGGTGACTCTAATTGTGCCAAGCTATTTTCTAGAATTGGGAACAAACAGGATCCAATGGCCAAATCTCGTGCTTATTCATACAATTTGGCAATAAAAGTAAAATATGTACGGATCCTTACTAAATTCGCCAACATCATTAGACTCCCTGCCCAAAGCTGTGCCCATCAAAATAGCTAGATGATGATATAATGCTAATTCCAGAGCATGTGCAGTTTAGCTTGAAGAGATATTAGCGCATATCGACTCAACATCAAAACATACAAAGCTCCACCTTCTACTCCCTACTCATTGACTAAATGAAGAAATTCCTTATTGAAAACTAACAAGTCTTATAAATTTGCTTTGGTGACAGATAAATCGTGATGTTTTATGCATCCTACAGCGCTTATTGATCCCAGTAATTCTAAATGGAACTCCCTCCTTGGTTATTTTGAGCATACGATACACATTCAGGATTATTTGTGAATATATCTAACTGGAACTCCTCAACCATGCTGGCCATCAGAAAACAGCACGCATACCAAGATTTAAAGCACGAAGAACCACTGACTAAGTGACTGCTTCCAGAAATTTTGGTTCCTATGCGGCGACTGAGTTTCAAATTCTGCGTGCCATACTTGCACGCCGCTATCTTAGACGTCCGGCTTTACAGTAG